AATAATAAAAGAGAAACAATATTTACATGGTAGCATATTCCATGGATACAAGAGTTATAAGAGAAAGATTATACATTATTTATGTTTATGATGGTTGATCCAAAATAAATTAGTCAATCCCTTGGATTTCTTCAACAAATCTTGTGATTTATCTTCCTAAACCTCTTGATTATTGATTTTTTTTTTAATTTTTAAGGTTAATATATTTTTCAACACTCTATTTTAGCATGGATTATAACAAAGTGATTATATTACAATCACCACTATTATAATTAAAAAAAATCCAAATTCAACCCACAATAAAATTTCACCTACATCATAAACAAAATATAAATTAATTATAAGTTTGCTATAAAATTCTTAAGATTAAATAAATATTGATAAAAAAAACAAAAAAATCTAAATTTAAAATATTTTTTATTATAATATATGAAATTCATCATGTTAAGATGATTATAACAAAGTAATTATATTACAATCACTACTATTATAATTAAAAAACAACCAAATTCAATCCACAGTGAAATTTTATCTACATCATAAATAAAATATAAATTAATTATAAATTTATTATAAAATTCTCAAGATTAAATAAATATCGATAACAAAAAAAAATCTAAATTTAAAATACTTTTTGGTTTTAACATATGGAATTCATCATGTTAAGATTATTTTGTTTAAGAATATAATATTGTTTTAAAAAAATGTGTAAAGTTTCGTACTTTTTTATTCTTCACTTTAATCAAGCATCAAGATTAATTCTGATTCCAGAAGTTTCCTCTGGATCATGGTCCCAGATTGATGCGAAATGAAAAGGAATTGCATATTCAGGGAAGATGCTGCGGCAAAAGTCAATAGTTCCAATCACATTCGCGACTAACTGATTATACACGTGATACATGCACGTGATGAACCTTATCCTGACAACGATGGGCCAACCATTTGAATTTAATCGCAAATTTTGAATTCATGAAATCTTTCATGACTGGGATCTTGGGCTGGGTTAGGCTGGTTGATGAGCTTGATTTTTAGCTTCAAAAAACAAGTCCATTAAAATATTATAATGCTTAACTAAGTAGATACGTGTGAGCAGAATAGGAAGGAAAAAAAGTAAATTATCTAGATATAGTTTATACTAGAGTTGCCACCGGGGCATTATACCACGACCGGGTTAATATTTTTATGAAATAAATAAAGATATTTAGATAATATTAAAGTTAATCTATATTAATTTTATTAACAGTTATGAAATCAATATAACTTTAAAAAAAAATCTCAAATCTTAAAACTCAAAAATCAATAATTTAATAACAAAGAATAAAAAAAAAATCTTGCCAAACTAAAACAAAAAGAGAGAGACATTGAAGAAAAAAATCCAAGTTAAGTCAACTTAACTATAAAAACCAATCAAATGCGATATGAGATTAGATTTAAAAATAATTTTTTTTAAAAATGATCTAAAAAAACCGAAGTTAAACAACAAAAAATCTTGAGGTAACATGTGTTTAGTTGCACCCTGGATAACCCCGCATAAAGAAAAATGAAATAAATCATAATACTCAATTGTCAATAATTTAATGGTAAATAATAAAATCGAGATAAAAATAAAATTTAAAAAAACTAAGTCAACCCAGGTTAACTCAATTAATTTGTGACCTGAGATGTAAGACAAAAATTACCCAACAAAAAGGAAAGACGAACAAATCACGAAACTCAAAGCCTAATAAGTTAATGTCAAATAATAAAAAATAAAATAAAAATAAAAAATAATTAAAAAATTAAACTTAAACCAGGTTAATTATTGAAACTAGTGGACCGGGTCATGAGATATGGATTACCCAGTAAAAGACAAGCACAAAAAAATTACAAAGCAAAATTTTAAAAATTAAAAATTAAAACAATAATAATCAAACCTTTCATTGAAAACAATTGAAAGAAACTAATTAGAGATTAAATTGAAAAAAATAAATAAAAAAAAAAGGATTAGAAAGCAACAAAAAAAAGGACCAAAATTGAAAATAAAATAAAATTATACAAGATAAAATAAAAAAATAATATAAGGGATATAAAAATAATAATTAAAAAAATAAAGACAAGATTGAATACTATAATCAAATGAAATAAAATGGCAAGGAATTTAATTAACAAAAAAAACTTCAAAAAGTATTTAAATGAAAATAAATATAAATAAAAAAAATATGAACTAAATTCAAAATAAATACAAACTTAATAACATAATTCAATTTTAAAAAACTTGATACAAATACCAAGGCCTATAACCAAAAAAAAGAAAGGAGGAAAAAACTTCATAATTGCTGAACTGCCACTATCCTGGCCACACGCACTACTTCAGCAGCTTCGTCGCCACCTTACGCGTTGAAAGAGACAGTAATCGGCATTTTTTGACCGTTATAATACTCCCCGCATGCTATCACAGTGGCGTGCAGGACATAGACACGTTAACACGAGTATAACACTCCTCAACCTTTTAAAATTAATTTGTTAATATTTTAATAATGCAAATTACTAACCAATCCCTAAGGTCATATGAATATTATAGAGAAACCATGCTGCAAAAATGAAAACACCCTCCCAAGCGCACATAAGAATTTTTTAACTCAAAGGTTAAATATATAAAGACAAAAAAAACCCTCCTTGCAAGGTCAATTTTTTTTGCACCTTGAAGGGTACTAATATCATTTTACCATGTAAATAAATAAAAAGGACACAAAAGCCCCTTTACAAAAGCTAATTTTATTGTTTTTAAGAGCAACATGGTATTTTTTCCTGTATGTTTAAAAAAGTAAATGACTAAATTGTCCTTCATCAATTAACAAATATGATATGATATTTGTATCCTTAGAAAAACATCTTTACCCCTCTTACCAAGACAATTGTTAAAACAACTAATGTTCTGATGAATCCATCATCCTTCTCCTCACACTACATAACAAATAGTGGAGCACTTCTATCTTTTACCAAGGCAATGTTTGCAAACTGGAGACTTGGAGCTCCTTGGGCTTCTGGTTTTCTTGTTTCCACGGCATCCACCTCCCACAGGAACATAGGGCACCCTTTTGTTTTGTCATTGTCCAAACAGCTTTCTGAGAAGACTCTCTCGCCTTGCTTTATACGTCTACCACCCGATCTAAAGCTCCAGATTTTGGAGTTACTTCCTGCCATTGATGCAGAGAAAATGGTATGCGTTAGCTCGAAGGCTTAAGAATTGTTCCCCACTGGGCACGTTGGTGTTAAAGCAGAACTAATTAGAAAAAGAAATAGTTGGGCAGCAGTGAAGGGATTTTATACAGAAAAAATTGTGAAGTGAATTACTTGTGGATGAGCAGCCCCACTGGTACATCCCAAGATTGTGAAGTGAATTACTAGCCAAATTGATAAGGATTGCCAAATTTTATCTCATGAGGATATGGTAATAATTATTTTTTAAAATATTTTTTATTAAAAAAATATATTAAAATAAGATTTTTTTTAAAAAAAATATTTTTGATATTAGTATATTAAAATAATTTAAAAATATAAAAAATAATTAATTTAAAGCAAAAAACAAATAATTTTTTTTCAAAAATTCATTATTTTTTTAAATAAAAAAAAGTATACTCTTGAAACAGGATTAAATGCTTAATTAGTTGTGAAAAAATTGAGATACATGGGTTGCACTTACTAGCACAATCAACTAAATTTTTTTGTTGATTGGGCTGCTAGAAGTAGCATAACCAACAAAACTATGTTATTTCTAAAAAAATTTCTTATCAATACTAGTTTGAAAAATAATTTTACTCATTAAGCTATTTTCCAGAAAAAAAAATACTTTTATAATTTTAGGATATGTTGACAGTATAATATCAATTATTTTTGAAAATATTTTTTATTAAAAATATATTAAAATATTTTTTTTATTTTTAAAAAAATTATTTTTGATATCACTATATTAAAATGATCTAAAAATATAAAAAATTAATTTTAAATAAAAAAATATAATTATTTTAAAATACAAAAACAACCTCATAATTAAATTTCAAACTTTAATGGTGCCACTAAACTCAAAAGCTAGTAGCAAACTGTGCTAACAATGTTAGATATGTTTAAGAGATTAATTGACAAATTGTGAAATTGTATGACTTCAATGATATTTTTTTTAAATATACATATAGGTTTTTATGATTTATTTTTTTATATAATTTTTTAAAATAAAATTCAAAATATTTATGTATATATTTAATTAAATAAATCAAAAATTATTTATACAATAAAAAAATTATCAAGCCCAATCTCTACCTAATCAAAGTTAAGCCATCAAACATGTAACTTGGATAATTAATTCAATTAGGTTCAACCATGTTTTTTATATAATTTTTTTTTTATCTAAAGTAAACATTTATAAAATTAAAAACTAATAAAATATCAAAGTGATTAAAAAAATTAAACTAAAACCAATTATATTGCTTAATTATTAACTCCTCGATGCTTTGGAAAAAGAAGCATGTGAGGCGTCGTTTGTATTGCTTAGATTCTAGTGTTTTTAGTTACTGAAAAATCAAGCTGGTCTATTTTAAACCATGAAAAATCTATTTTCAACCATATTTGAAGTAAAAAAAAACACTTTAAACTTCTTCTAAAACATATGCATAACATCTAATAATTCAAAAATTGAATCTAAAACTCACAATTAACTTAAAATAAAAATTATTCTGGGTTCACATCTACTATTTCAAACAAATTTAAAGGAAAAAAAACACCTTGCATAAACTTTCTACGTCAAAAAAAACTTATTCATATTAAAATCACTTGTTTTCATTGCCAAAATTAGTTTCAATTGATAACTTTTTATTATTAGAATTTAGTCATTTTCCTTTTCTTTCTCAAACAAAAGATAAAAAATTAAAAAAAATGAAGTTTGTAACGAAAACTAAATTTCATAAATTACTAGGGATTTTAAGTTGATAATTTGAAAAGTTAGAAGATGAAACTCTACATTTAGCCTAAAGTTCTACTATCCCAATGAGACCTCTGTCGTCATCTAAGACGTCCAGGTGGCCATAATATGTAGTAACAAAATGGCTACATGGAGGTTTGCACTCATTGAAAATCTCCGTGTGGCTCACCCCATCTGGAGCACACGTCTGCGGTAAGATGGGGAAGGCTGGCTCATTGCCTAATCCAGTACCAATTATGGTGACAGGAATCGAAAAGTTAAAAGAGCAAGATTCGTAATTGAGTATTTTGGGCTCCATCTGATTATTTTTGGAAGTCCCCACAACGGGGTCTACTCCTATCAGCGCTGAAATGTTGATGTCTAAGGAAACATCGGCAAGTCCAAGTGCAAGAGCAAATGCAATGTATCCACCCCTACTGTGGCCTGCAAGAGCAAGGTTGTGCATTTCCCCTTCAATATCTTCAGGTAGCACACACCGGAGACCTGAGGGCAACCAGTTTGCCACTTCTGCTGCCAAGTCAAGCTCGACTTGTCCGCTAGGTGGCATCAATCCGTATAACTAAGGATCAAAACTCCAATGTCAGGTCAATCTTCACATAGAATATTTCTTCATCAAAATTAGACAAAAATAAAATACATGGAACAACATATATCCATGGGATGCTGCAGCTTTGTTAAAAGCTAGCTATACATGAAACTCATGAAGAATGAATCGATTTGTACAGTACGTTTGGATATATTAAGAAAGGACATGGAAAAAGGTGTACCTGCGGTGCGCCCCCTATGTATCCATGAGAAGAGATGAATTTGAAAACATCAGTGTACTTATAGTTATTTTTTGGAGTATTTTTTATATTAATATATCAAAATAATTTAAAAATATTAATTTAAAATAAATAAAAAATAAAAATATTTTAGATTTTTTTTAAAATACTTTTAAATAAAAAAATAAAAAAACAGGGCATAGAAGTTTTCCCTCGACAAAAGGACTGAGTTACAACTAGTTTAAACAACTAAGGATAGATAATATTTGTTGAATCTGCAAGGATAAAAAAACAAAAACAAAACATTAAGTAATCAATTGCATACAGGCAACATGCGTCATTTGACCTCGTCCCCGTTTTTTTATTTTTTCTTCCATTTTTTTATTATGGGAAGAATTACTGAAATTATGAAAAATTGAAAAAAAAACTAAATTTTTATAATTTCAATAAATACTTTCTTTAATAAAAGAAATGGAAGAAAAAATAACCAACAATTTATACAATTTACTTAACGCCTAAAAGCTCACACTAAACAAGGATAAATTAAGAAGTTTTGCCATTGACAGAAGTACTGAGTTATTAGCAAGTTTAAACAAGAAAGGTTAAATAATATTTGTTGAACCTACAAGGAATAAAGAATTAATTTCACGAAACTAAACGAAGATATTAACATCTTATCTGTTGGGAGGAAGAGGTTTGTTATTAATTATCAATATTAATTAATTCTGGAAAAGATACCGTTAGGAGGAAGAGGCTTCAACATCTTATCTGTTGTCTCTGTCCAGCATGAACAGAAGAAGAGGGTAACTCGTTTATTTTTTTTTTTGTTAAAACCGAAGTTGATACTTATTTTATTTTATTGGGCTGGTACAGGTTGGGCCTCAGTTATAGTTACCAACAACATTCTTCATTCAATTATATAAAGCCCAGATCCAAGAGCTAGACCCAATAACCAGTCCAGAGTCAGAAACACAGCTCAACATCATGCTCCATAGCTAAACAAACTCCTTTACAAAACGGAAACCTATGACCATTTTTAATAAAATTAAGTTACCATTTGTTTTTTAAAATATATAAAAATAATTTTGAAAAAATAATATTTTTTAATTTACTGATATAAAAAATTATTTTAATATATTTTTAAATAAAAAATATTTTAAATCATTACTATAAAACAAGAAAAGTCATCATTGCAAACACTCCATATTTCACAATTATAGCAGTGTTTGATATTGTATTTTGAATATGTTTTTTAAAATATTATTTTTTATTTTAAATTAATATATTTTTGATATTTTTATATCATTTTAATGTACTAATATCAAAAATAATTTTTAAAAAATAAAAAAATATTATTTTAATATATTTTAAAATAAAAAATACTTTAAAAAATAATTGTTACCATATTCTAAAACACCCTCAATATTAAACTGAGCACAATTGTTAGACAAATACTCTGACAGAGTGGCTTAACACGACCAAACTTTTAGGCACTCAATAACTACTCATTGGATGATAACAAAAGCTTCTAGTTTTCAAATGTAAAGAGTTTGAAGAACAGAGAGTTAGAGAAACAAGTTTTTTATTGAAGAGGGTTCACCTTAGAGGACTACTCTCCTGAGGTTCTGCCTTATAATGTTACACACTGCCTCTATTTATACTAATTTTTTAGGCTTTTGCTTACATCACTCATTACATAAGAAAGTACTAGAGCACACTTAATAATACACCCTTATGATACAAACGACAAGATAGTACAATACTAATATTAACTGAAAATAGGTTCATGATCTGGAGAGAGATTATGATCTGATAGGGTATCTTGATCTCGAGTAGTTTGGACTTGTAGGACCAACACATAGTCATCATCTGCAACCATTTCCAGCTCATGTGGTTCCAAAAGCGTTGGGATGCCCAAAATTATCTGCTTGAGTTTTTTATTTTTGTACTGCATTCGTAAGTCATGGATATGAACAGAATATTCAGGGTCGCAAAAATCATGGCCAAGTTCTTCATCAGGATCTGTTCCTTTAGGTCATAGTTCATCAGGAATAATGTTGTTCTTGAGGCATACTGTTTTTTGCACGGTCCGGAGTTCGGGGAGGTTTTCTAGGAAATGTTCGTACAGGAAGTATGAATGGGTTTTGTAGAAGGTAGCTTGTGGAAAACTTATAACCAGATTGTCTGTTGCGGCTTTGAAAGGCCTGTGAAATATGAAAATAGAGAACAGATGAGCAAAAACTTGCTTAACAAACTTATTTTGAGATGCATTCTGATATACTTCAATCCAACAAGTTTGTGGATGAGGCCATTGAGATTTTTTATGTTGGAGAAGGGAGACCCATTGTGTAGGGTTGTGGAACCAAGTGAGGAATTTCAAAATATAATTTCAAGAATCTGTTGGCCAAGAAGTCCGAAGAAGACTGGAAAGAAAGCAGTCGGTGGGAAACTCAATAGCAATATGGTACAGGTGACAGAGGTACTATAAGAAAAAGTAGAGTTCTTTAGGGAACATGCCGGAAGGTTTGAAGGTGAAAAGGTGGATAAAAAGATATTTGGGATGGATGCCTAAGCTTTGGAAACAAAAGGAAGACATATCATAGTTGAGAAGAAGGTAATCTTGGAGGCTAAACAGTTTGTCTTTGGCCTGTAGGTTAAGAGTGTGGTTAAGAATCATTTCTTGAGCAAGAGAGGGTAAATCATTTGTGGGGAAGTCTTGCTCAGGTGGAGGTGAATTGGAAGAGGAGGCCATAAGAATCAAGGGAATGAGGAGTGTTTGTGATTTAGGAGGTCTGGTCAGCATGACTAGGATCAAGTTCTTGGTTCCTTTTATATGCTCGACGGTGAAGGTGTACTTGAAAAACCACTTTGCTAATCTCAGAAGTTGTGGATGAGGAAGCATTTTGTGCTTGAACTGTAGCATTTTTGGAAAAGAGGAACAATCCATGATTACTATAAAGTGATAGGCTGGCCGGGGGGACTCGAATTTTTGGATGCCATACTTTACAGCTAAGATTTCTTTAAAAGTGGAGTGGTAGGGAGGTTCTAATTCCTTGAAGGACCCACCTTTGTATCCACATATGTGTCGGTGACCATCTTTATCTTCAAGGAGGAAAACACTCCAATACTTGTCACTAACATCAGTTTGGAGTATGCGTTGTCCTGTGGATGGAATAACTAAAGCAGGTAAATTTTATGTGGCCATCTTTAATTGTCTGACAGCTTGTGTCTGTTTTTCTGTCCAGGGGTCTGCATCTTTTTTAAGCATGAACTGAAGTAGCCTTGTCATCTGTACAATTCAGGGAATAAAATTTCAGAGGTATTGGATAATACCCAAAAACTGTTGGACTTGCTTTCTCGTGTGGGGGCTATCAGAAAATTTTTGGAGTTCTTCAGCTATATGGATGCCAGGTATATAAGCACCATCTACAAAAATCATGCCAAGAAATTCAATTTCCTTTTGGTAGATAAGCATCTTGGTTTCAGAAAGCATAATACCATGATGGTGCATGAGCTCTGCAAATTGCTTTAACAACGCAGCATGTGACTCCTCATCTTTTGAGAAAAGTAACACATCATCGATGTAGATTAAAGTTGATTGAAGCATAGGTTTATATACTTTAATCATGGCTTTTTGAAATAATGAGGGTGCCACTTTGAGACCAAAAGGTATAACTCGCCATTGATAATGATGGTCTAGTATACAGAAACCTGTTTTGTATCTATCTACAAGATGAATGCCAAGTTGCTAAAAGCCAGCTTTAAGATCAAATTTGGAGAACACTTTGGCATTGTAAAGGCATGAGAATAATGTCATGGTATTTAGCAAGGGGAACTTATCATCTTGTAAAAAATGAATCAAAGGCTGATAATTAATTACCAACCTGAGCTTGCCTCTTTTTTATTCAGACCTTTTATTAACATAAAAGGCTTCACAGGACCAGGGTGAGTCTGTAGGTTCAATTAATGCTTGAGCCTGTAATTGAGCACATTCCTCTTGAGCTAGTATCTTGTGCTTTGGATTCATTCCGGAGTGACTGGCTTTGGTGGGATTGATGTCTTCATTAAGCTTGAAAGGAAGCCTAATAAAAAATTGTGGATTTTGCCATTAGGGATGAGAACATTTAGCAAGAAATTTCTTATGAGAATTTGAACATGAGTGTTGGATTATTTGGGATTTAATGAGAGCAATATGATCTGTGAGGGAAGATTGGAGTTTATAGAGTGAAGGGGTAATTGTATATGGAAGAAAATGGGTTTTATACTGAATACCACCAGGAAGGATTCTGAATTTAGATTTGAAATAAACATCAAACCCAATAACTAAATCCTTTTCAGGTAAAGGAGAACCAAGAACATGGGTTTTGACAGAACATTGTGGTAGGATTTGGATGGTAATAGGTCTTTTAGTTTTGAGTTGGGTGCAAAAAACTTGATTGTCAGCAGCCCGAAAGTATTCTTTATGGGTGACCCAACAATGAAGAGGAAGAACTTTAGGGTTAAGAATGGTTCTATAGGCTCCTGTATCAAATAAAGCTATGGCTTTGATGGGCTTAACATATGTGGATGTAAGAATAATAACAGGGGCTCAAGGTATTGGGTGTGAAGGGGAACTAGTAGGTTGGGCTTCGTAAAGTTCATAGATCTCATCATCAGAACTTTCGTCTACAACAGCAGCTATGGTATCAGGAGTTAGCTCATCCGTAAAGGAGAATAGGGATTCAACTTCATCAGCATCGGGGTTGAACTTTGTATTTTGGGTTAGGAAATCAATTAACTTCAATGACTGAGCCTTCTTTTGTGGATAGGTTTTTGCAAAGTGACCCTTGCGCTTATAAATGAAGCATCGATTAAAGCTGGGAGTGAAATGCTTGGGGCGTTGAGTGCGGCGTCGTCTGAGGAACTCCCATTTCTTCTGGCGACCATTAAAAAAAGATCTATGGATTTTCTTGAAATGCTTCTTCTTTTTTAGGGAACAATTGCAATTAGCATTGTCGGAGCATTTAATCAGTAGATCTGGTCGTTTGCAAGCACAGAGCATAGTTTTAGCAGGCTGTAATAGCTTG